TTGAAAAAAAACGACCAATTCTAGCACCTTAATGCAGCTTCTCCCAACCTAACAATTTTTTGATATATTAGAATTACATGCCTAAATTAATTTTTGTGACAGTTCCAAGCTTACTATGTTGCACAAATGTATCTGCTATGTCTGTATCACCCCTTATTTATCTTTCTGCACAAATTCTGCCACCGCGTCTTGCATTTTTCTAGGTGCTCCATCTAATGTGAGGATGGTGATGCAGTTGGGCATGAGGAGGAGATAAGCAAGCAGTCTCTGGTCACTGGTATATTTGTGTTTTTTTCCTATAGAAATCTCCCACTCAAGCGGGAGTGAAAATTTTTATCCTCTCTTTATAGGAACAACACGGTACAGTGCAGTGGTGAATTCATTCTTGTAACCAGGAATCACACTTTCTAAAGATTAAGATCCCTAAGATCAGACCAACAGCCCATTTAGTCCAACATTTTCTGTCACCCAAGAATCAACTGGGTACTGCACATCCAAGAAACATCCCTGCAAGAAGGGCAGGAGGACAATGGTTTTAATTTTTTTTTAAAAAAAATTGTCCTAGTAGAAAAGTGACAAAGTAGTCATGACATCACCATGGGCATGTGAGATATTTAGCCAATTTCTTTTTAAACTGTATTTTTAAAGATGCGTATGACCTATTGTGAAGTTATTTGACTTCCTTCTTGGCTGCCAAGTACAGTGTAAAAGTCCTTTTAAGTTTTCAATCAACTTTGATTAAATCATCTCTCATTTATTTTATTATGCTTCCAACACTGATGTGCCAAAAACCCTCTTTTCTATATGAATGAAATACTATGGGAAATGTCATTTCAAGCCAGAACTGAATAGCACATTTAGGACAATTGGAAGAAAAGAATCTTCCATCCAATCCGTAATATATCAAACTAGCAGCTGTAAGATGTATCAAGTATTGGATTAGTTAACTTTGAAATAGTAGTAGATAAATTCATAAAATCTATTTGACAATTAGTGGCTATTTTCTATGTTGACTGAACCGTTTGCTGTGCTGAGGCAGTATGTTTGGGCTTCAAATGCTTCAACTCATTAGGCCTTCTCTGGCATCTTCAAAAACATCTGATTTGGCCACTGGACACTGAGCTAAGTGGACTTTTGCTCTGATTTTATAGGAGCCTCTGTTCTCATTAGCATGAACACAGTGGAACTTCTGTCTTCCAGAATGCATGGCACGGATGATTTCCTTGAAGACAACTGAGTTGGTGGCTATTTAAGTGGATTCATAAAAGTTTTTTTCTCACATTTTAGACACAGATGTAGCCAAATTCCCCTTTTGTGAAAAGAAATGAAGGAGGATGATACATTCCTATGTGATTAGGTCTCATTTTTCACTGTCTTCCCTGAGTGAGGGCATAAAAGTAGAAGTCTTTGTTAAATAAGCTTGTGGATTGCTCAGTAATAGTGTGATTGCCTCTATTTCCAGTTAAATTCAGTATCTTTAATTTTGACCTTTAGTATAAAGTATTGTCTACTTCTAAACTATTCTTTAAAAAAACAAAAAGGCCTATTTTGTAGTTCTTATTCTTGTTTAATTTGTTCAGTGTCACTTTGCATTTCAGTTTTCTTGAATGTGATCAATCTTTCATATAATTTCTTCCTGATTATTTCCATTCACTCTGATGAAAAGCAATTATTTTCAATTATTATTATTATTTTACCATGGAGAAAGTATTAAAGAAATTTTCATGGACAGGATGTTACTTCTTGTACTTCTTGTATGAGAATGAAAAATCTCTGTAATTGCAAAATTATCTTTATCTTTGTGATGTGTCTCTTTCCTGCTTTATAAAAAGTTCACTTGAGGCTTTTTAAATCAGAATAGGAAGGAGGGGCAATTTGGGAGTCTTTGAAACAGCACAGATAGGCTCATTGAAAACAAATTTTCTGCTTTTACCTATTCCAACATAACTCAATAAAACAAGTTTAAAAAACAGGAAGAAAAAATTGGGAAGCAAAGAAGAGTTTTTGGTAGCGTTGCCACAAATATATTTAATAATTCCACCAATACCCAAAGTGGGGCCAAAAATATGTATTCAGAGCTGTATGAATTTAATGCGAATGGAGCTGATGGCTAGACAAGATGTCACACTATCAGGGGTTCAACTAGACAAGAATAGCTATCAATGTGTTCCTTTGCCCAAAGAAGTACACTTTATCTGGAAAAGCTTTCTTTTAAAAGTGGAGGGATTCTGAATTCATTTTGGAGTGGAAGCACAGATGTGATGTCTTAGAACTTTAGTGTCTGAATCACACGAAATTATTCAACTTAAACATTCTGATAATGTGCCACAGATGTTGAAAGTGTCGAAAAATGTTCAAATGGAATGGCTTATTTATAGGTTCTGTTGTAGACATACCGTAATTTACTGTATATGTTTAAAGATTCCTTATAGCCAATATATAGCCAATATAGCCAATAGCAGTCTTTAAAGAGAAATATTTATGCAAAGTTTTTTTTAAAATAATTGCATTTGAAATGAAAATTTCTCATTATGTAGATTTCCTTTTTCATTCAGGATATATCCCAAGTCCTATTGTAAAATGTTTAAAATCTGAAATATGAGATATATGCTGCATTTAGGAAGCTAGATACTTGGAGTAAAAAGGTATTTTTTCCAAGAGGCTTCTACAAACAATTCAGAAGTGAAAGCTATTCAGTAAAGTTTGCAATGAGAGAGAGAGAGAGAGAGAGAGAGAGAGAGAGAAATTTTATTAATTACTATGGTCCTATGTTGTATATATGCTAGATGTTCCAGATGTTCTACATTGATTATCTTTTTAAATTTAGCTATGGATCAGAGATTTTAGAGATTTTGTTAGATTGTAATTCTATTCAAGCTAAATTTAATTCCTGTACATATATACATTGTTCTCAACCTGATTATTTTTAGAAGCATGATCCTTAGTTAATCAAATAGATGAATATAGATGCTGTTACAATATCCAATCATGGCTCTATAACTTTCTCAATTATTACGAGAAAAGACTCATCCTACTTTTGGAAGATGGTATTTAAATTTTTTAATAAAAGAGATAAAATATTTAAAAAAAACATTTCTTAAATGTGAATCTGTCAATTTTAATGGGAGTTTGGGAAGATTTTTAGGGATGTATTTAAATATTTCCACTGATGTATTATTGCATTATGCCATGGAAAATGAAACTAAATAGGAATAATAAAAAAAAAAACCTAAACAGGAACTTTGGGAAAATAAATTGAGGAACTTTTAATTTATGCTATGCTTTTTATCCCTCCTTTTATAATAATTCTTTTTGTCAATTGGAACAATATTTTAATGCACTTGATACAGAATATTAACTGAATTGCACAATGAAAAGATACTGAGAATGAGGGGAAATTACTGGTTTCTTGTCTGAAACAGCAACAACAAAAATTTCTATTAAGGATGCTCAGGGCAAAATAGGTAATAACTCTCATCAGCAAATTTTACATTTTTATCATCTATTTTATAATACTAAGCCATAATTACATGGAATAAAATTAATTAAAATAACTCTTATCTATGATTACCTATGGCCACATTGTTTAGCTAACAGTTCCTTCATTTCTAGATGAAATAAAAGATTTGTTTAAATCCATACAAACAGGAAAAGTTCCTGGCCCTGATGGTTATGATATTGGTTTTCCAAAAAGTCATTAAAACCTGGCTCCTCTACAGAGCCTTGAATAAATTGGTGATGGGTGAAACCCTCCACTATGGATATGGATATATATAGTAGGTAGTCCTTGACTTATGACCATTCGCTTAGTAATGGTTGAAAGTTACAGTGGCACTGGAAAAAGTGACTTACTAGTATCCCCATGGTCATGTGATCAAAACTTGGCTACTTGGCAACCGGCATGCATTTATGATGGTTGTAAAGTCCCAGGATCATATGATCACCATCTATGACCTTGCCAACATAGCAAATGGAAATTGTTATTCCAAATGTGGTTGTAAGTTGAGGACTACCTGTAATAATTGTTTTTTGGGTCACAGTTGTTTTGTTTTCATTTTTATAATTAGTTTTATTTTAATGGTGTGATTTTTTTCCTATTGCGATATACTTAAACTCTAGTTAGATTGACTATAAGTAAATAAATATTTTTACTTTAATTGGAAGTTTATAAAAGCTTATAAAAATGAGTTTTGAATAATTTTTCATAACTTCTTCTAACAAGGTCTATGCAACTGGAACTTGCTTGCTAATTTTGCAAATAATTATCCAATTTCTTTGTTAAATATATTTTGCCAAAATTTTTATTCTGAACCCAAACTACAGAGAAAATTATCTTTGTTTGCTCAATATAATTTCATAAAATGCTAACATGACTTAAATAGAGCAGCAGATATTTTATATATATTTTATACTATATATTCATTTTAGATATACTTTTGTTATACTTCTAAAAAAATTGAATCTGTAGTTGGCAGTCTAGTTGGACATACAACAGTTATTTGATATTGTGCAGTAGAAATTTTTGCAGCTGATGTTGGATCCAATATGGATTTATGTTACAAATTAAAAAGGGCATCAGTTATCAAAATAAAAAATAAAAAAGTGAACCGCTCCAAACTCAATTGCAGAAAATATGATTTCAGCAACAGAGTGGTAAATGCCTAGAATGCACTACCTGAACTCTGTGGTTTCATCCCAAAACCCCCAAAATTTTAACCTAAGACTGGCTACTGTTGACCTCACCCCATTCCTAAGAGGTCCTTAAGGGCCGTGCATAAGAGCACCAGCGTGCCTACCATCCCTGTCCTAATGTTCCCTTTAATTGTATTCATTTTATGTATTCAATTCATGCTTATACTTATATATATTATCTAATATGTACTCGACAAATAAATAAATAAAATAAAAAATAAATAAATAAAAAATAACAAACAAGTGAAAACTTTCCTTCCTTCACAAAACAGGAGGTTCAAGAAAGAAGGAGAGGTAACCAACAAACATTTTGTGCTCTGGAAATTGCTTTTTATTGGTCTCTCATTTGAAAGTAGAGTACTTGTTGGAGTTCCTGTGTTGGAACTTTAACTTTCCTTCTAATAAACACATGTATTTCAGGTTCCACTTTTTCAAAGCAATCAGCTTCCAGCTCCCTTGACAGTTCCTTCCATTATAAAATGTATGTGAGAATCATAAAAAGGTTTTACTACCAATATATAGAGAAATCTCATTTGCAAATAAAGCTAAAGCTCTCATAGGAATTCATGTGTTGTAAACTCAACTAATAAATATTAATAACCAAAGGGTAGGAGATTTCCTCTTTGGAGTAACTGGTTCTTGTCCAGACTCCAGGCAATAATATTAATCAAAATTCTTAGATTTTTTTTACTGTTATGTCTATTTCCAATGAAAAAGTCCTTTTTTAAATAAAATGTATTCCAATCCTTCATCCAGGATTATCACAAATAGAATTTTCCTCGCCTTTTTATGTTTTGTTCTAATGTCATCAAGGATCAGAGGCATCCATGAACTGGGAAGAAATGATGCAATTATGCTATTGTGATTCAAGCTTTGGTCCTTTTGTAAATTCATGGTGACATCATACACTTTCATCATTTTGATAAAAGAATTGGAACCTGCAATAAAGGATATACTTTTATTGAGGATGTGCCTTATCTCTATCTTCTTACATTTAATTTGATATTGGGACTATTGTTCAGGCAATAGAAAGAAAGCCCTGGCATAAAACCAGCTGGAATTGAACACCAATTATTACTCCATGCTGATATCTTATTATTATGAAAGTTGTGTACTAGAATTCATTAATGCAGTAAAAAAGTTTGGAAAGTTAAGAAGTTACTCATTTAGCTGAAATAAGTATCGTACACTTCCTATAAACTCTAAGATATTTATGGAAATTTTACTTGGTGTTTGAACATGCTTAAATATTTCAACAGATTAATATTGATGTAGAAATTTGGTAAAAAAACAACAACATACCACCCTCAGTGAGTTTACCGGATTCTAAAATTGGGCAGCTGATGGACTCACTTGTCCAGTAGGTGGGATACTTATGCACAAACACGTACATATCTCATTGGCTCTTAATGAATGCTTACTCAAGGTTGATTCAGCCTTCCATCCTTTCAAGGTCAGTAAAATGAGGAGCCAGACTGTTAGGGGCAATATGCTGACTCTGAAAACCTCTTAGAGGGGGCTGTAAAGCACTGTGAAGTGGTATATAAGTCTAAGTGCTATTGCTATTACCGCCTGTCACTTTTAGACACCTACTATGAAAGACTTCTGCTGACTGCAAAGGACTTCTCGTTGCAAGGTCTCGGGTTCCACTCCCAATTCTATATCTTTATGGTTGCCCTCCAGGGTTTTGAGAGGAATTCTTTGCACACATATCTGGATATATATTTGAGTATATCTTTGAAATAGTCTTTGGCAATGAGTCAGGCTATTGAGCGCGGTTTTGCCTAAAGCGACTAGCAGCAGCTCCTCAATCTCAGATCAAGGTTTTTTTCCCCCAGCTCTTTTTCCACCCATTGGTATTAAACCTTGGACTTTTCCATGCAAAGCATGGTTTCTGCCGCTGACTTATGGCTTTTCATTGACATTGTCCAATCCCCGAGCAAGGACTCTATTTCATGATGGAGATTCCATTACAATATAGATATTGTACATTTTATTATAATTGAACCAGATCATTGAATCTACAGCTTAACTCACAATCTAGAAAGAGAGAGGGAGAGAGAGGAAGAGAGAGATTTTCTACAACATATTTTGTTCCTGTTTGCTATTTCTTGCAGAGATGCCCAATGAATACTAGGAAGACTGAACATTTTCCCTGATAAACCATTTTTTTCTGTTCATTACTGCTGGCTGGGTTTTGCTGTTATAGAAACTAGAAAGCCAGAGAGAATGCACTAATGGGGAGGAGCACTGTGGTTGCAGTCCTTGTTAACTTGGTTTGGAAACTGCTGGCCATTAATCAATGTTTAATATTGTCAAATTGGCCATAGAGTGCCAACCCACACAAAGGCTGTGTGTGATTTAATGGGAGAAGTTTTGACCAAATTCATTGCCTGCCCTCCTTCCCAAGCACTTATAAAAACATTAAGAATATAAATTGTTGAACACTAGACAGGGAATTGTTCTGCAAACAGAGAAACCTCAAACCATATTTTTTAAAAATGGAGCCCGTTATTCCTTTCATTTTGTCAACCAAACCAGACTTTCTTTTATCTTATAATTGTGCCTGGCAGTGCTTGATCTCCACAATCCCAGAGGTACTTGGTGTGCCACTTAAAAACAGAGATAAACAGAAGTCACTTTCCTTCAAAACATTTTCTAACTCAGACTGACTAAACAGGTTCAAAATGATAAAGGTTTCAGGGCCACAGAAAGAATTATTTTGCCAAAATATACTGTCCACTGTCAATCTATCAACTATACCCCATCCCCCAATATTTCTACACTGAATTTCAAAATACTGGAGTCTAAATATTGGAGTCTAAAATTTGGCTGTTAAAAGCCGAGGGCTTTTAAAAAACTGGAGGATGATAAAAAGCCTATAAATTTGTATGACAAAGGTCTTTCAAAATGTCTACCTTGTTTTGGCTTTGGAATGGCTATAGGCCAGAATTAATTGTTCCAGTTTCTACAGGAACAACTTCTGGAGTGAAACCTTAAAACTAAATGGGATGATTTGCAGATTTCATATCTATGGAACAGAGAAAACTTAACCAATACAGCAGTGTTTCTCAACTTCAACAGTTTTGAGCTTCAACAACTTTAAAATGTGTGGGCTTCAACTCCCTGAATTTCCAGCAGGCTGGCTGGGGAATTTTGGGAGTCAAAGTTCACACACTTTAAAGTTTCCAGAGATTGAGAAGTGCTGCAATAAAAAAAAAAAATGCTTCCACAGATGTGATAGACCCTTCATTTTATTTTTATTATGCTAACAAAGGATCTACCAATATTTCTGTTCCTCTATTCTGCATATCTTCAGCTATTTTAATATTCAATTTTTCAGATTATCAGTCCTCTTTATATCATGTTTTTTAGAAATATCTTTGACTTGATTGAAAGGTTCTTAATAGATTTCAAAGGGTTGCCAAGGAAATCGTATAGGTACATGTATAAAATGTATAGGAAATCCTATAGATGTATGTTTCTTCCCTGCCCCCATCCCCTGCAGCAGGGGCCCCCAACTTCTGGGGTGATGTGATGTGTTTGCAACCGGGCCATCGAAACAGTGGGCGAGCCTGCAAGTGCGCACATGCACACATGAGGAGCAGCGAACATGTGCATGTGCACTCCATTTGCATGAACGGCAGGCGTGTGTGCACACTGCTAGTGCAAATGGAACTGTGTACATGCATCCGCTTGCCGCCCGCTCGTCTGGAACCATCCCCTCTCTCCCCCACCTCCTCTGGTCCACAAGGCCGGAAAGGTTGGGGAACTCTGCCCTACAGCTTGGCATGATCAGGGACAGGTTAATCTCTTGGGAAGGCTGCGCTTTATGCCCATTTGGGCATTTTGCATTAAAGCTATTATTTGTATACTGTAAACTTAACTGAGTTTTGACATGGTTTGCAAGGAAGGTACCTGGTTGTGCTCTAAATTACATTAGAGCCAATTCTAGGACAGCTCACCTGTATGACTAGCAACTCTCAATCTCTCTCTCTCTCTTCTGGTTTTGTTTAGCTGATTGAAGAACTTGTCATCCAAGTTCAAGAGCTCGAGGTGTGTAGATTAATATTCATACAAAGTGCTTTTTTATACTACATCAGGCTGACAGTCTGCCATTTCCAACAACCCTTGGGCTTTTCAGCCAGCCTGCTATCATGGGGCAGGGGATAGTATCCTGTGTCAGTTCAGACTATTTGTCCAGCTAGCTCTTCATTGTTTGCGCTCAGCAGCAATTATCCAAAGTATTAGGAAGGGAAAAATCAAGAAGTATCACTTGGACCTTTTCAACAAATACACCTGAAATCAAATTATTTTCTGCAGGTGACAGCATCTACCAGGAAGTGCTTGGCATTTGTTATTGGTGACCATATCCAATAATCTCAGGGTGTTGCAATTAGGCTGTGGCTGGTTTTAGGCCCACAGAGGTGGACCCTCTTTTAAAAACTGAAAATCCAGTATTTATCTCTGCATCCTTGTGAAGCCTGCCTGCCTGCCTGCCTGCCTGCCTTCCTTCCTTCCTTCCTTCCTCCCTCCCTCCCTCCCTCCCTCCTTTCTTTTCCTTCCTTCTTCTCCATACATCCACCTCAATTTTTGACAGCTATCAGAGCTTTTTCTTCCCCTATGAACATGACAGAGTTATGCCCATTCCCACCCATCTCCTTTTTGTCCAAATAAATTAAACCCCAAACTTCAGTTGGTACCAAAATTGAAATAAATATCTGCAAGAAATAAATTAAAAAGTCAACCCCAAGGAAGAATCTTCTGTGGCCTGTTTGTTAAGAAAACAAGAACAAGAAATTAAAAAGCCCTCCCGCCCCCACTCCCGCTTTTCTTCCTTTTCCGGCATCCAAAGTTCTTTGCTGGAATTGAAATTTGTTCATTTGTTCTACTTATCTTATGGAATCATAGGTGCATTATTCCTCTGGAGAATTCTTTCTACCTTTTATTGGTAGAAATTAAAGAATTAAATGAAAGCAATGTGCCTCTCCTCCATGTAAGCAGCCATAGATTTGAGTCCTCGCTGGGAGAGACTTGAGCCACACTAAAATGTCACATCCTGTTTGAGTTTTTCATCCTCTCTGCTGAGGTGCATTTTCAAAGGTAGCTTCATGGTTTTCCCTGGGGCCCATGGGTCCTGCTTACAGAATTTCTGACTCCCCACTTAAGGTTTGGGCCCAAATTCATAAGGCCCTTGCCCACGGGACACATCTAGCATCTCCAGAAATGCCAGGATGAGTCCCTGAAGGGACCAGAGAAATGACAGAGACAAGCCCTGTTGGAGGAATTAAGTTGGGCCATGCCTGGAAAAAGGGGATGGAGACAGGTTGGAGAGAAAGCTGGACCAGCTCATTCCTCAAAGTGGCTGGCAGGGGTTGCTCAAAATCCAGTGCTCTCAGAACTGCTTCGGCTGTTGTAGCTTGGACTGCGGCTCTGGGTGCGAGTCCGGCTCCTGCTGCTGCTGTAGCTGTCATAGCTGCGACTGCGGCTGCGACTGTAGGAGTAGCTGGTAAGTGAGCTGGAAGAGGAAGGGCTGGGTCGATAATAGGGGATTGGACGCTTCCGAGCACTGGAGGAAGAAAAAGAAAAAGTCTCATACCTTGGTAATAATAATAATAATAATAATAATAATATGAAGTGAATGGAACTGAGGGGGGAGGGGGCGTTGGCTTTAGCACAGAGGACAGCTTTAAAAACTTGGAACAGAGGACAGCCCTGATGATCATGATGTCACCATATTAATTCTTAGAAGTGTTTTGTTAAGTTTGCTCACTTCCCATTCATTTTTTAAACTGAAATTTCTTTTCTAAAATAAAGTCAGATGGGATATATAGCAAATAAATATGATAATATGTAGAAATCTTCTAACAGGAGTTTCAAATGTTCAGTTCATAATTTATTATTTTTTTAATGCAAACAATGGAGAATAGAATTTGCAATTGTTTAAGATTAAACTACAACGTTTCCATATTTGTTCCTTTTTATCTGGTATGATCTGACTAAGTGGACTTGTAACTCTTCCTAAACACCTCCTCTTATTAAACTGGACTCTTCAGTGCTAAAGCTGCTGCCCCGCCAGTAGTTAGTCCTGGATTAGCCAGCTAAAACAACCAAATGTGAAAGAATTAATAATGTTTGTGATTTGCAGGAGACACTGGAGAATTAAAGCTGTAAAAAACAGAGGTTAGGTGTTAGTTAGAAGCAGACTTTTTCCTGGAAGCAGCACTGCCTTTCCCTAAAGAAGTGTTATTTCCTGGCCAAAAGCCCACCCATAATTGTCCACAGAATTAAAGTCCCAAGAGATACTAACTATAAACATTGACTACAGTCCCAAGCCAGGGTATATATAATTTAAATATTATAATTTCAAGCCTGTTAATTTGGGCTGAAAGAATCATTGATCTAAATCACAGAATCTTGAATAAAGGCTCAGTGCAAACAGTTGGAAGTGTCCTGGATCAGGCATACCTTGATTGCATTGAATAAAACAATTAAATGAGTGAATAGACTATATACTGAATATACTGGGGGTGGCATGAGATCAGTTAGATTGATGGTGTGTATTTACACTTGCAACCCTTCTGTGGACATTGGTATGTGTGAAACTGCCTTCAGTCACTCCAATAAATCTTCAGATTCCCCCAGTTTCAGATAACCTGGTACATGCACCTCAGAGTCATTCTGAACATTTTAGATTCCACTTGAATTTTCATTACTTTTCTTGCATTGCAGGCCAGTTTAGATATCTCTATGGGTGATATACAGATAATTTCTTTATTCTGAATGTAGATCTCTACTAAAGCTAGGCTCACAGTACTGTTATGTTGCACAAGAGAGAATCTCTCTCTCTTGGGCTGGATGCAAATTAATGGCTACTCAATGCTGCAAGGTGTGCCCAAATTGCTTAGACAGTCTAGATGTATGTTAAATTGCCCCCAATTGCAGGGTGATAGGAAGTCAATTAGTTGTTTTGCTCAACATAGATTTAGGCCTAAGGAACTCATTTGATATCTTGGGAATGTTTGGTGTATAATAAAGATTAAGGTATCAGGCTAGAAACCAGGAGACTATGAGTTCTAGTCCCACCTTAAACATGAAGCCAAGTGGATGACCTTGGGCCAATCATATCCTTGCAGCCCTAGGCTGCCCTAGGTTTCCAAGAAAACGTCAGAAACTTCAGAAACATCCAGGCAGTTGCCAAATGTCAATGCTGACTCAAAGGCATATATGTATCATCTTCAGCAATAGACATTTTGTTAGAGAGTAATTTTCATATGAAAAAGGAGTGGAAGAGAAAATAATTATTTATACCACTTCAAAACTTACCTCTGTTTGCAATGTTTTGCCCTTACTGACTATGAAAATAAACCAGTCAGAGATCATGGAATCAGCATTATGTCATAGTGGCAGATTTAATTTCACATGTCATAAAATCACACAGAAGGAGGGCCATGTTTCCTATTTTTTGAAATTCAAAACATTTCACCCTTTTGACAAATTGTCACTAAAGCATGGAGACAGAGAAATTTCCCAGGGGGCAATTTTTAAAATATGTGAAAAATGTAGCCCTTTTTTCATCCAGTCCTCTAATCTTAGAGGACAAGAAAAAGTCCCATTCTTCCCATCTGCAGCCAGATAAACTTCTCCTGATGTCGGAACGTGAAGGTGAAGCAATACCCTGTGGAGAACATGAAATGTGTGAGGAAGATAGGAGGGTCTAGAAAGAAACCAACTTGTTTCATCAACACCAAACCCATCTATAATTTTCTCAGCCATTAGATACCAATCAAAGCAACACTTGAACTGATATACTCATCATCCTAGCTTCATTATTAATGAGACAAGAGAGAGAGAGAGAGAGAGAGAGAGAGAGAGAGAGAGAGAGAGAGAGAGAGAGAGAGAGAGAGAGAGAGAGAGGATGGTAAAGCATAGCTCTACAAAGCTTCACAAAGTGATGGATTCAAGGACACACAGCAGGTTTCTGATGGAGGAGAATGTTACCATGGTAACCCAGCCCTGCCGTTATGGGCTTCACTTGAAGTTTCTTCAGGAAGAACCTTGAAAGAGGATGGAAAAGGAGAGATTTGCATCTTTGACAGTGGGGGGAGCAAAGCAGAAGACAGCAAGAACAAGTGGGGAACTGGTAAGTGAAGGGAGTTACATTTGCACAAGAATAATGAGCACAATAGAGCTCAGTTGCCTTTTAGATTTGACTAAAGGTTTTCATAAATCTGCAAAGCTGAACTCCTTCCAATAGTGAGTTTGAGGGAGTAGTGATTATTAAGGAAGTAATAAGAAAGTGACTTTTAAATATTCTACATTGTAGGTGTCATGTATGCAGAAAAAGATAAACTTGTGAATCAAAATATTTTATTTAATTATGTATAAGTTATATGCTACCCATATGCCCAATAAGTTGACACTGGCCAGCTTATATTAGTTGATTAGAAAAACTTCCAAATTCCTTGATAATAACCTATGAGTTTATAAAGTGCTGGTTGCAACTGAAGAGAGGAAGAAGGGAGGAAGAAGAGGCAGAGGGGAGTGAAGTTAATTTTAAGGCACACTTCCCCAGTCTGATGTCCTCCAACTATACTGGAGTAAAAATCCCATTATCCTAGTCACACGACTGAAGCTGGTAGGATTTTTAGTTGGAGAGATCTGGAGTAATCTGAGTTTGGAAAGGCAACTAAAGGAATTACATCAAACCAATATTGTGAGTGAATGAATTAGCTTTACATTTAACTTTAGTTTGACTCATGGTTTGCTTCTGTGTAATTTGGAAAAAAAAAAGAACCTGGAAGGAAGAAGGAAAAAGCAGACTGACTGACTCTCTGTAATAACCATTTTGGGAATTTGGGCCCCCGAATATGTTTCCTGTATATTTTCTATAGAGAAACACAACTGACAGGTTAATGCAAAAAGTCAAGGTCTATCAGACATTACAGACCAAAGCTTTTAAAACAGGGTTTCTCAGCCTTAGCTGCTTGAAGATATGTGGACTTTTTCTTTTTTTAAGGAATAGAGAACTTAGTACAGGTAGTCCTCGACTTACAACCTTTCATTTAGCGACTGCTCAAAGTTACAACAGCACTGAGAAAAGTGACGTACAACTGATTCTCGCACTTATGATCATTGCAGCATCCCCAAAATTACATCGTCCAAATTCAGGCGCTTGGTGACCATTATGTATTTACAAGGGTTGTAGTATGCTGGGATCATGTGATTGCAGTTTGTGACCTTACCAGCAACTCCCAACAAAGCAAAGTCAACGGGGGAAGCTGGATTTGCTTAACAACTGTGTGATTCATTTAGCTGATGTGATTCACTTAACAACTCTTGTAGAATAGATCATACAATTGGGCACAACTCACTTAGCAACTGCCCTGTTTAACAACAAAAAAATCTGGTTCCAATTGTGGTTATAAGTCGAAAACTATCTGTATGCCAGGTAAAGCAAAAGCTTTTCTAGACAAAGAACTCAGTAGACATGCAGGAACAACACGGACTCAAATACATGTGCAAATTGTGAACATAGTCAGGTTTGGGGCTGACTGCTCTATGGAGTTAGACATTGTACCAGAGGCAAGTTCTAGATAAGAGTGAAAAAAGATAAGACCTTTAGTTATATCTTTTGCTGGAAACTCTAACCTCCTTTACCCCAATAGATGTCCGAATGTATCTCAAGCCCCCAGTGCCTCCTCTTCTTCCCCTGTAGATGCCTATGCATCTTTCAGAGATGAAAATATTTTAAATGCTAAATAATTTAAATAAAAATGTTTCCATTAATGCCAATATTATCTGTATAAGTGCAATACACTATGAAAATGTTATATAAATTTCTGAAAATATAATATGGTAACATCCAGCTAAATTTCACAGTCATCTTTATTTGTTTGGTCTCAATACTAGTTGAATAAACCTCCTAATGTTTATTTTTGGAACTCTTTCAATTTTATTTTATTTTATATTTTATTTCATTTATGTTATTATTTTATTTTATCAAATTTCTAAACAGCCCATCACACCTAAGTGACCAGGTGGCTTTCAAACAACATTTTATTAATGCTGAGATATTATTTTATGATGATTTTACTCCGTAGAATTTTCCCCAAACAGATAGAGATAAATTTGCCACATGCAAATTTCTTGACTTAATTGTACTACTTATTAATGTCAAGTTTCTTCAACATAGGCTGGTTTTTATATAATGCTACTGTTAGTACAATGTTTTTGGATGTATTCTTTTTTAGCTGCAGACATTAAATTGAAGAATATTAATCTTTTAGGATATTTTTCTATATGAAGCAGGTCATGTAAATCTGTTTCCAGTGAAATCTGTGAGTGCTAGGCATATGCTGTATTGTTACCTCTGGAAAGGTAGATGTTTGGATAATACAGATCAAGGAATTTTTAAATCACTAAATAGGACCAGATTTCTAAAAATTTCAGAGAATGCCTTAATTCTTCTGAAATCAATTTGCATTTGTACACTTTGCAAGTTCTCAGATCAGCAATTATCTGCCATGAACTCTACAAGCATTTTATTTTATTTTTCAATTTTTTATTCTACATTCTGTTTGAAAAAGAATTCTATGAAACTCAAAAGCTTTTTTCCAAGATCTGCTGTAAATAACAAATTTTGTCCCACATGTTCAGGGCAGTGGTGAAATCCAATTTTTTTTACTACCGGTTCTGTGGGCGTGGCTTGGTGGGCATGGTGTGGCTTGGGGCGTGGCTTGGTGGGCGTGGCAGGGGAAGGATACTGCAAAATCTCCATTCCCACCCCACTCCAGGGGAAGGATACTGCAAAATCTCCATTCCCACCCCACTCCAGGGGAAGGATACTGCAAAATCTCCATTCCCACCCAACTCTGGGGCCAGAGGTGGTTTTTGCCAGTTCTCCGAACTACTCAAAATTTCCGCTACCGGTTCTCCAAACTACTCAAAATTTCCGCTACCGGTTCTCCAGAACCTGTCAGAACCTGCTGGATTTTACCCCTGGTTCAGGGGCTTGCCATAGGAATGGAGAATCTAATATTTACCTAGTGATTCTTCTAGGCTCCATGAAACTTGGCGAATCACGCCTTCTCTTTCTGATGGGGGAGTAGCTGCGGGAACGTCGTCGGGCACGGGTTGGTTCTGTGTCACTATGACGTGTTCGTGGCTCATTTTCCTTCTCTCTAGTTGTTAAAAAAAACAATCCCATTTAAATGCTACTTCCATACATATTTAAGACACACTGGACTTGAGGAGTTCAGGTTATGAGATTGTGGACATCCTGGGCTAAGCGTTGTAGGTAAAATAATCAAGTTCCCACCAGGCCTAGAAACAAACCCACACTGAAACACTGATATAACATTTATTTTACATGTTTATGTACTGTCTATGTCCAAATGTCTCTCCTTACTTATAAAATATTAATGCTAAAACTGCACTGCAGAAGGCTACTATTGCCTGAATTGAAAAAGCAATTTATTTCTGAAAAAAATAAAAACAAAAACAAAACCAACTTCCCAATATCTTTAAAAAGCAGCATTTTAATAGACTTTATTCTTTAATAGACCCAGTGAAAATGGTACAAAAGAGTGTGCAAATCTGGAACTCTTTCAACACTTTATAATTTCTGCAGTGGTAGACTGCAGAAATAAAGGAACTGAGCAGATGCTTTGGTGCCGTAGAATTTAATAAAGTTTAATTTAATTATCTGAGTTTTATTACATGACAATCTGTCCAACTCATCTCTAATTCACTCTAGAACCATTGTTCCCTTCTCCTGCATTGTGTTCATAACCTGTGGTGGAAAGTAGTGGGCCAGAGATCCCCAGGGAGGAGAGGGTGCATTCCAGAGGAGTAAGACGCAGCTCAGTTCAAATAGCTTGTGTGAGAGAAAAGGGGTATTCACTATTACTATTAGCCACTTCCTAATAGTTTTCAGAGTATATGAATAATGTAGATAGTATGGACACTTCAGTTTGGCAAGATTCTGTGTATAGACATGGAACAATAAAGAAATCTGCTTGGAAGAACCACCACGTAACTTTCTTGGTTTTGAGGTCTGACCCAGCCCTTAATTTTCACCAGAACAGCAATGGGGTCTCTTCTTAATGGACCATAGCTCACACCAGATGAGCATGCAACTCACCAGGAAGGGCTCTGTTAAAAACGACAATTACCATTGCTTTCTCCATTCTGCAAACTTGAGAGGAACAGGACAGATTAGACTAAATATATTTATATTTTGAACCAAGTAATATGTGTACAGGTATTAATCATGGCTTGGAAGAAGCATCATAAAGAGTCCTGCATTTGTTCCTCAGTTTGTTGTGTACGCAAAATGCACAATTGTTAAAAGCAATGGTAACTTTCTTACCATTTTATATACTTCAAATCATAGTATGAGCAAATTTTTTTTAAAATCAATGAAAAGGAATGCATTAAAAATGCCCCTAAAGTTCTCAGGCAAGAACTATCATTTTCCCCACCTTGTTAGAAGTAGGGACTGCAGCCTCCATACCTGCTGCTTGTTATTTTTTTCTGTGATCCCGATCGAGTCCTGCTGCGCCCAGCTCTCTTCTCCCGAGATCGGGATCGGGATTTTGATGGAGACCGGCTGGAGCTCCAGGAACTGCTTCGAGATAGACTCCTCTTTCGTTCAGAGTTGTGTCTGGAGTGTTTGGCTGAAGTTGGAGAACAACTATGTGGTCTTCCCCGGTGGTGCCTCTCTTTTACCCTAAAAGATGCAGTGGGTTAAAATTTAAATGGCCTCAAGCTCAGATCCATGCAAAGGTATGGGCACAAAATATGTTACCTTTTAAGGACCTAGGAAAAGCCTGGATTAGAATACAGATCTATCTAATTCAGCTCCCACTTCCTGTAGTTGCCACAGTAGTTCTCCTGACCTCCACCCTCAGCTGTTTATAAGTTTTCACTTATTGAATCCGGAAGTTCAATTTTGTTATGGTTAAAAGGAGCTGATAACCTAATTTAGTTATTCATTATATTACTCCAGTGCATTGCTCTTGCATATTTTCTCAGATGCTGTATGTGTCAGCAAAAAAAGAGATTGCTATTTAGATCTATCTGTCCTAATCTGATGGTTTCATATATGTTGGGATGCTAACATTCCAATATTTTCAATAGAAAATGTTGCTTGTTGGAGTCTCAACACAATCTGGAAAGTACCAATTTGGAAAATTTGCATTAGATTTGTTTTAGAAGAGATGCAAACCCAAATACAGATATCTCATTACCTGTACATGCCATTTGCTTCACTCATACTAAATGTTTTCCAAAGAACTGATATGAATTCTACTAACTTTGTGAACAGAATGGGACATCTTATTTAAATAAATCCTTAGGGTATTTATATGGTCATTAGAATGATCACCCAATGGCCACTGAATACAACTGTAGTATTTTCCTTTCTCATGAAAGGAAAAGCCGGTTGTGGCATTCTCTATCAATCTCTTCCATAGAAAGACATGGGTTATCATGTCAGAAACAGGTATGGGAAGAAGGTGGACAATAGGATTTTTGATTCTGCCTGTTTCCTTGATTTAAAGGTTATTTGAGTCTGGTTAATGACCAAAGTGAAGCACATTGGTTTTGAATAGGCACCCTTCAGATGGCTATAAAGATTTTGGAAAAATTAATGGAAGAAAGTCTTGTAGAAATCCTTTATGACATTGCAGTGTTCTCAGGATGGAAGAGTCTGTAGGATATACTATAAACTATTGGTCATACAGTCAGACAGATGTTTAGACTGGATTTGACATTTTTGTTCACCGAGTCCTTCCAAGGACCTGGTATAAGCAGAGGTTGTTTGATGATGTTGAAAATATTCTTGAAGGATGTAAGATTATTATTATTATTATTATTATTATTATTAATATTATTATTGATCATCGCACAGTCAGCCAGATGTTCAGACTGGGTTTGGCATTTTTGTCTACCTATCAAGTCCTTACCAAGGACCTGGGATAGGCAGATCTGGATGTTTGATGGAGTTACAGATATTCCCGCAGGATGGAAACTGTTCCCAGCTTTTGCAAATGATTGATGGCGAATTTGTCAATGCCAATGGTGTTCAAGTGGTGCTCCAGTTGTTTTGGGATTGCACCCAAGACGTCTATTACTATTGGTACTATCCTTGCTTGCCTTTGCTACAATCATTCTATTTCTATTTGTAGGTCTTTGTATTTTGTTATCTTCTCCGGTTCTTTCTTGTCTAGTCTGTAAATTATTATTTAAGATTTAATGTTCAATTTGATTCACAGTAAGGGACTGGTAAATAACCAGACTCCTAAACAAGGACCTAAGAGTTTATTATTATTATTATTTCAGAGAAAATGAACCAATTAACATGTTGGATAGAGAGGATGGAGACAGTGAAGAAGCCTGTCATCTTGTTTATGGTCTTGCTGGAAATTTCTCACTGGCAGCTGAAAACATAGGACAGTCAAAAATGTCAGGAGGTATGATAGCCATATACATATCACCAAACAAGGCGACAAAGAGCATATATATTTATATAAAATGCAAATGCTAATTTGTATGAATAAATTCAAATGTGGAAAGAATGAAGTCTGTCACACCATCGTTCATTCCATTGTGCCACTCAAGGCACTGTAAAGCCAAGTCACATCTCTCCATTGATCTCATTAATGGCTCTTTATAAAGGTATTTTATCATGGTGCCAGAATTAGGGAGAGATGGAACTAAGAGTCGAGAGAGCTCTAAAACGAATACGATGTAAGGACAACAACAACAACAACAAAGGATACCTAATGAAAAACAGAGTGGGGAAAAGACAGTCAAACAATCTAACTTTGTTTTGATAATTAAGCAGTTGACACATTTTCTAGACTTGTGTTCAGCTTTCAAGTTGGAATTAAATTCTCACAAAAAGGGAAAGTTCCTTTATAAACCTATTCCAATTCAATTTTTGAGTGGACAAAGCTGTTTCCATCAGCAGGACCTGGAGCAGAATTTTATCTTAAATGACATCTGGTGTGCAAAGAACAGGAAGAAAACAGAATATTTCAGGATTTACAGTATACTATGCTTTCTGGGGAACTTTTATCTTAGGTTGGCTGAGATATACTGGTATTCCATCGTAGATGCAGGATATTATCCTGCAAGTGGTAGTACTCAATTATTATCATTATAATAATATAAATTATTATAATTTAAATTAAATCTATCTTGCTGCGGTGACCGATCAGGTGACCCATATGTCTTGACAATCTGCTGTCCAAAATGTCATTGTGGGATATTCGAATCTCTTATTTGTTTTTATTATTCTTTATCTTTAAACCAACCTTCTTCTGGCCATTGCTCCGAATAATCTGGTGTCTTTAAAAACAGGATATACTTTATGTAAATTCCTTTCAAAAGGAATTTTAAAAAGTTTAAGGACAGTAATCAAGCCTCATGTTTTTTTCAAAACAGATGGTCTTTTATTTTTGAGGTCTGGAGTACACAAAACCCATTTTTGCAAATTTGTACTGAATCCAGGAATGTGACTTACGCAACGAACATTTGCTCAACTCAAAATATTGGCTGTCAAAAGCTACGCATTTGCTACTGAGATACAGCTAAACTCAATCCCAGATAGAATCTAATCCAAGGAGGTATTCCTGACTACAGGGTTGGATGCTTGAATTGAACTATTCATTCATGCACTGAATTAGTCATACATGCACCACAATCTTTGGCTCTTACGTTTTCAGATGTACCCTGTGGTTCTTTTCTGCCCCGGTTGTTGCGTGGTATTGATGTGAATAGGTAGACCCTTCTGAGTCACTGCTATATCCTGTATGGCTGACCGACCAGGATGATTCCTTGCTTGCAGAGGTTTTGGCCCTGCGATGCCCTTTGCGCTTGTGTTTTGATGTGGATCTGGTGTGGCGCCTGTGGGAGGGTTTGTCTCCTCCAGAGCATCTCCCTGGGGATGTGGACCTCCGGGGGGTCTTGGCCCCATGTTTGTTCCCCCTGCTTTCTTTGGCGTGGAGCGATAGGGTTTCGGTCTTTATGTGCCCTTTGGCTGAAGGCGACAGGGAACCCAACCTCTGGCAGAATGAAAAAAAGGGAGCGAGCAGGAGGGGGAAAAAGAAAGAAAAAGGAGAGGAGAGGTTTTTAAAAGAAACCCCCCACCAACAAGGAAAGCTGCAATTCACAACAGCAATGCACAATGATTGAATAAGGCAGGCTACACAGAAACTACTCTGCACCTCGATCCCCTGTTCAATCTCTCGTCCTTAAACAACGCAGCTCATGCAAATCTCTGGCATGCAAAACAGAAAATGAACCAAAACCAAATGTAAATAGGAGGGAAAGTTCAATCGGGAGGAGGGAATCACCTTGGAAAAATGAAATTACATGATATATAATCTTTGTAATGATTTAAAATGATATTTAAAAAGAGAGAAAGGGGAGGATGTGGATGAGGGAATATTATGGGATGAAGAAAGGATTAGAAATAGGGGTCCAAGTGTGGGATTGGATTAAAAAAATAAATTTATTTCTTGATAGCCAATCGAGGAGTAGAAGAGAAGACAGAAGTATGGGGAGGAACATGGTGGTGTATATGATGGAAGGGGAAAGGGATGGTGGGGTGGGAGAAAACAAATTTTAAATAAAAAGGAAACTCCACAAATGTCATCAGTACTGAAAATAAACAAAGAAAAGTTTCTGAACTCTTCCTGGGTTTTGAACTTTGTGCAGAGTCTCCACCAGCGTTCTATTCTCTTTTATTTTTCTTTAAATTTCACTTTATAATATTTTTGTTAAATTACCACTTTTTTTAAGACCCTCTTGGTTAACGTCCACTTACCAAGAAAGTGGCATTTCCTCCTTTAGTAGGTAAGGTATGAAGAGAAGGGAAAAGTTGGGCAATATAAGTGAATCATTAGATTGACAAAAATGCAAGAGAGAAAGAGAGATAAAGAAAGAGAAAGAGAGAGAGAGAGAAAGAGAGAAGAGAAATAAAAAAAACAAAACCACCCTTGTCTCCTAGGGCCTTGCAGCAAACAATTAGGGAAAGGAGGGAAACAATCTCTTTGTTCCTCTCTCTGGGTAAATTGTCAGAACTGGACTTCAGTTTGGCTCCTTTAAAAAAACACCCATCAAGAACTGGTCTTTGTGCCTTGACTTTCTTCCAATGAAGAAGCAATGACAACATGGGAGTAATGAGGATTTATTTATTGATTTGGAGAGTTGAATATGATTGGTGTCTTATTAGCACTTCCCAACCAACTGTGTGGTTTCCATCCAGATTTGGAATCTGAGAAATTTGTAACCCCCAGACCTGAAGCAGGAAGCCCACCTTCATCTTTGTCTGCTGATGATTTGAAGCAATTTCTCTCCTTATCCTGATGTTCCATTCTGTCTCTGATCCTGAGCAACCAGGTCCCCTAATTCAAAACTCCTCTACTCTCAACAGCCATGCAGACTAGGGATATTGAAAATTGTGCATTGAAAGGATACCATACTGATGACATCCATTCAATTCTGCCATTAGCTTTGGTTAACCAGGTGTATTTTGAGAAATGTTTCAGAAGAACAGTATTCCTTCATTTCTCCCTTTCATCTAATCTAATTCTATTATAGGTTAATGGATTCTCCTTTCTTTAGCAGAGGAAAATCTTTCCCTTCACTGTTGCATTTTCCCTTTTAACTTTAGTTATTGGAAAATTAGCCATGGGTTTAGTATGGAAACACGCACTTTAGGAGATGGGCTTTCCCCCAGCAAACAAAAAGATATATAACCATAACAGATATTTCTTGTTCTAAGAAATAATTATTGTGATACAGAAAAGCTTAACATGGATTCCGTGCTATTTCAGAATCCCATCACTGTAAATAATGCGTCAAGATAGTAGAAGTTAGGCTGACAGAGATAATTACCAAATCAAATCTTTATTATGATCATAGACCAGCATAACAAAGATCATTAGATTCTCTGTATTTCAAGCATTTATAAGCTTTTTTTTTTTATTTTTACCAATGTTACCATAATGTTTTTCCTAGGACACCCTGATCATTGTAATTTCCCATGGATCTTCAGTCTCACCCTTCACAGAACAGTTTCAAAAATCCCCTCATTAGTATAAGAAGCTGTACCAATGTAAATTTTCCTTGAACAACTGAATGGCAGAACGCAACTGGATCAGATAACAAATCTCTTTTCCTAAAAAGTTTAATGGTTTGCTCAAATTTTTTTCAACAAACATGGTAAGGTAGCCTTCAAATTTCTGAATCCCAGTTGTACTTTGCCCCAGTCATGTTAAATTGGGTGGGCCTACAAACACCGATTTGCTTGCTTATAATACTTAAATACACTGTGCAATGCCTTATTCCTATTAAAACAAAGCCTTATTTTCCATGTTTCTGGTTAGTTTTTCCAGCCAGCGAAATGAAAACACTAATAAGCTCACATATGTTGCCTTTCCTAAAATGGTGCTTTCCAATGGTCCTGCTGGATGAGCAAAATGAAAGTTGCAGTCCAGCACATCTGGAGGGCATCAGTTTAGGCAAGGCTGATCTATACACATCATGATGCTGATAGGAACTCCTTATGGCTTCTCTTGATCAGAAAAGCCCTTCACATTATTATCAAGGTTATTTCAAAATGGAATTAAAAACAAGTGTTTGGCTTAGTACTACAAACACACATCAGAGATTATCTGAAAATGTCTCTACTAACTTGGCATCATATGGAGATGTTCTATCTCTGAATTATTCTTACAGAAGAACAAAATAATAGGCACCACTGGGCACTTTGATTCTGAAGAGTCTAGTTAAGGAGCTAGACTAGAAACAAGGAGATTGCATTCTAGTCCTGCCCTAGGCATGGAAGTAGACTAGTTGACTTGGGCCAGTCATTCTCTTTCAGCCCAACTCACCTCAAATATATATCATCTTGAGTTGTACAAAGACAGGTGGGATATATCTCAAATGAATAAATACATTTCCCACTTCTGAAGTCTGCCAGATGCCCTTGGACAAGTATATTGTTCAGGCTAAATTTGATTAGTAAAGATATTTACAATTAAAACCTTGTTCAGAAGTTGTAGCTAGCAAATGACTCTTTAGTGGGCAATCAAAGGGAATCTTAAGGATGACTATGAGGTGGACAGTGAAGGAATGAGGCATTTTACAAAGATTGCAGTTGTTCACTATATAGTATTCAATATAGACACAGACAACCAGCATTTTCTTTTTATGATTGCAGGTAAAAGAGTAATTACAAGGATATATGGTTTCCAAGATGTTTGGCATTTATCTTAAAAACGGACATTATATTTCCCAAGATCCAAAGCTGGGATGTTATGTTATGGGGACAAAGCCCCAGGAAAGCAATGAGGCAGAGCTGCTGAGGTTTGTAGTACTGTCAAAGCATTATGACTTTTGCATATCCATATGCAAAAGCAGAAAATTATGAACTTAATGCTTTTTCGTTTCTCTTACAGTAAGAGAACTAAAAACAATAATGGACAAAATGGCATTAAGGGATTCAGCTTTACGAAGTGCTACATATTTACAACAAAAATGAGGAATGCTACCTGCCAAGTGTCTACTTGGTATTTTTAGGGTCAAAAATATAATTATTTTTAACTCAAAATAGGTTCTATTTTGCATTTGGTAGGCCACCTAGGAATTCCAGGATCAGGTGGGAATTTGAAAAAATATTTTGGAAAAAGCCATGGCAATCCATTAATGTAATGCTAACAAGAAACTGCATGTACCAAAGGAGCTTTTTCAGGAGGCAACCGGACTTTCTTGTTTTTTCTTTTGAAGATGTTTCGTTATCATCCAAGAAGCTTCTTCAGAGCTGAAGAAGATTCTTGGATGAGAAGCGAAATGTCTTTGAAAGAAAAAAACAAGAAAGTCCGGTTGCCTCTTGAAAAAGCACCTTTGGGACAACCATGACCTGGATGACTGAGAATCTCTACAGATTTAAGAAACTGCATGGGTGGTATCAGCAGACATTGATCTTGACTCAAGGGCATCTTTTCTTTTTTATATTTTTCATCAAAAAGGACTTGCTTTTTAAGGCTTCAGAAAGCTAAAGTTTGGGAAATAGCTTGAGAATATCACCTTTCCAAAAACAAAAAACAAAAAAATCCAGGCCACCAAATCTTTAGCTCCTTTGGCTAAGGATGTAGGTGCAATAGACTATGAGCAACACCTGGAGAAATCTCAAGAGGCTGGATGTGGGAATGTGGAGAAAATCTGGGTCAGAAGAAAGGAAGGGATTTCTCCATGTGTTTCTGTGATAAGCATATGACCACTACAACTTCTGCAGTGTAGAAAACTACTAAACTCAGTGAAATTCTGGGGACACATACAGAAAAATTCAGCACACTTTTTGCCAAATCTTCAAATATATTAATGTCCAAGATCTGTGATCATGTAGACTTGAGTTCATCATACAGAACTCAAAACATTCTTGGCACAGGATTTGTAATGTGTGGTTTTTAAGTCACATTAAGTGTGTATGTATAAATTATATTTTAAAAATCTTGAAGGAATGAGGACTCTCTTGATTCTTTCTTCATGTTCTACCAATATTATAGTTCTGAGTGATGGTAATATTGTATAACTCTGTCATCTCAGATAGTCTATCCTAGTCTGGTGAGCTGCAAATAGTTTGATGAGGTATAATTCTGAACTTGACTGGATAGCTCCATTTGATGCAGTATGTAGTACAATATTTTTGGAACATGCCAGGTTGGAAATTCTTAAGCCAAAAGATTATTTGTGTAGTCCTTCAACATTTCACTGATAGAAATAAGGAAACACATTCATGTATATGGAACTCTTTCACAAAGAACTTCCATACTTGTAAAGCATTACTGCATTATACTTAATGTACCAATATTATCCATTTTTTCTTTCTCCCTTCCTTTTTTTTCTTGTTTAATTTTCTAATGAAACATTTATATTTAATTCATAGTATATCTTTAACTGATGATTGCTAAAAATGTCCTTAAAGATCTTCAGCAAGGGAGAGTCCATTCATCCTCTGAATAATTGGTTCTATTTTCAATGATTTTATCTTCAATAA